AATTCACAAATTTATGGAAATCAACTACTTTTAAACCATCACTGAGTCAAAGAAATATGAAAAGGGAAATTAGAAAACATTGTGAGACAGATGAAAATGAAAACACAATATATCAAAATGTTGAAATGTAGCAAAAGTAGTTTGAATGTCATTTTCCCTCCAAAACTCATGTTGAAACTTAATCCCCAAATTCATATGCTGACAGTACTTGGAAGTTGAATATAAAGCAAGTAACTGGAATTATATAATATCATCAGGTGGAACTGCCATGATGGAACTGGTGGTTTTATAAGAACAGGAAGAAAGACGACCTGACATATGGTTTCTCTGTCTTGCCATGTGGCCAATACTGTTAGCGACAGGACTTTTAATGCCATGCTTTGGGACTTACTAGCCTCCATAACCATGAAGTAGAAAAGTCCCTCTCCTTTGTATACTACCAAGTCTCATGCATTTCTGCTATAGCAACAGAATATAGACTGAGACAGTAATACTAAGAGAGAAGTTCATTATGATAAACACTTGTAGAAAAGAAGCAATCAAAATTAAATAGCATAATTTTATACCACAAAGAATTAGAAAATCCACAAATAAAGCACAAAGTTAATGGAAGGAAAGAAATAACAAAGATCATAGATGAAATAAGTGAAATTGGGAATAGAAAAATAATAGAGAAAATTAACAGGACCAAGGGTAGGTTTTACAAAAGACAAAGTTCACATATCCTTAAAACTAAAAAAAGAGAGAAAATTCAAATAAATAAAATCATAAATGATTGCAAAGATTCAAATAAGTAAAATCATAAATGAAAGCTCAGACAATACAAATATTTCACAAATGAGAAAGATTGTAAGAGATCAATATGAACAATTACATGCCAACAAACTGGGTAACCTAGGAGAAATGGGTGTATTTCTAGAAACATATAATGTAGAAAGAATGAATCAATAATAAGAAGGTGAATAACAAAGAAGAAGACTGAATCAGTAAACAGAAATTTCCAAAAAGGAAAGCCCAGTTCCAAATGCCATTACAGGTACATTTTGCCAAACATTTGCAAAATAATAATACCAATCCTCTTTAAATTTGTCCCAAAAAAGAAATTTTTCTAAATTCATTTTTTGAAGGCTGCATAACTGGATTCCAAAGCCAGAAAAAGGCACCATAAGAAAACAGAACTACTGACTAATGCTTCTGATGAGCATTGTTACAAAAATCCTCAACAAAACATCAGCAACTCAAATTCAGTACACGTTAAAAAGATCATTCATGATAGCAAAATAGTATTTATCGCTGGAATGCAAAGATGGCTTAACATATGAGAGCAGTCGAGATGATACAGTATACTATCATAATGAAGGATAAAAATAACATATTCATTTCAACAAATACAGATCATATAACTTACAAAATTCAAAATCACCCCATGATAAAAGTTCTCAACAAGTTGGGTATAGAAAGAATGAATTTCAACATAATAAAAGACATATATGATAAACCAACAGATAACACTGTACTCAAAGTTAAACTGAAAGCACTTGCTCCAACACATTGTTGAATATTTGCTTCAACATCCTTTAAAAGCAAACATATTCAATCTCACCATTTTCATCTACATGTTATTAGCTAGATCAATTTAACAGGAAAAATTTTTAAACTTTCAGTTTGGAAATAAGGAGGCAAAAACACCTCTACACATACTGTGTGATCTTTTATAAAGAAACCACTATAGACTCCACTAAAAAACTGTTAGAATTAGTGAATGAATTCAGTAAAGTAGCAGATAGCATGAAGTCAACACAAAAATGATAGAAATGTATTTCTATACACTGACAGTGAACTCTCTGAAAAGAAATTTTTTTAAAATCCCAATTATGGCATCAACAAAAAAGAACAAAATTCTCAGGAATAAATTTAACCAAAGAAATAAGAGACATGTACAGTACATTGAAAAACAAATCCTTTTAAAAGAAATTATAACAGATTCCAATAATAGGAAACATCCCATGTTCGTAGACTGGAAGAATTAGTATTATTGAAATGTTCATTCTACCCGCCCAAACCCTTTCTACAGAGTCAATATAGTCTCTATCAAATCCTAATGGTATTTATTACGTTAGAAGAAAAGACAATTCTAAAAATCATATAAAACCATAAAAGGGCTTCAATAGCCAAGGAAATTTTGAGCAAGAGAAAACTTGAGGCATATTTCCCAATTTCAAAAATATATTGCAAATCCATGGTTATCAGAATAGTACGGCATTAACATGAAATCAGACACATGGATCAGTGAGACAGAATAGAGTTTGGAAATAAACCAATATATGTATAGTCAGCTGATGTTCAATGAGGGTGCCAAGATTGCACAATGGGATAAGGAGAACTATTTTAACAAGGGGTTTTGGGAAAACTGCAAAAGAATGAAAATAGTTTCTTATGCTACTCACACAAAAAAATCAAATCAGATGGGCTAAAGCCTTAAACATAAGGCCTTAAATTATAAAATTCTAGCAGAAAACATAGGGATAAGCTTCATGACATTGTTCTTAGATATGACACTAAAAGCATAGGCAAAGAAGCAAAAAATAAAAAAAGACAAGTGGGACTACCTTAGACTTCAGAGCATAGAAAACTTTGAATTAAATAGCAACCTACAGAATGGGAGAAAATATTTGCAGCAACTTACTTAAGAAAGTCAATACAGGAAACATAAGGAACACAACTCAGCAGCAAAAAAACAACCCCTGAGAAAACAAAGAATCAGAATACACTTTTCCTAAGGTCATAAAAATGACAAACTAGCTCATGAAAAGGTGATCCATTATTCTAATTAATAGGAAAATACAAATAAAGACACAATGAGCTATAACCTCCCAATCATTAGGAGCTATTATTAAACAAAACAAAGATAAGAAGTGTTGGAGAGGGTATGGAGAAGAAAGAAACCTGTATAATGCTGCTGAAACCATTTTGGAAGATATTGGGGAGGTCTCTCAAAATATTACATGTAGAACTACCATAAGACCCTCCAATCCCTCTGTTTGGTTTATAACCAAAGGAATGAAAATCAGCAATTTGTAGAGATATCTTCAGTCCTATGTTCAGTGCAGCATTATTCACAGTAGCTAGGATGTGTTTGCTGACAGATGACAAGGAAGTAAGTATATAATGTAACAATATAATAGGTATAGATGTGTATATGTCTTTATACATGTATGCATATAAATGTATGCATGTACATATATATACATATATATATATATATATACACATATGTGGATATCATTCAGCATTAGAAAAGGAGATTTTGCCAACATGAATGGGCCTTATGGAAGACATTATGCTAAGTGAAATAAATCAATTACAGAAACAAAAATACTACATGAACTCTTATACTGTACTTGAATTGAAAATAAAATCAAATATATGAAAAAGAGAGGAGAATCATGGCTAATAGCAGTGAAAAAGGAAACATGAGGGTCAAAGGGTACCAAATTATAGTTACGTAGCATGAATAAATCTAAAATATTTATTGCATAGCATGAAGATCATAATAATAATGTAATAGAAAAATAGTTAAGAATGTATATTTTATATGCTCTTAGCATACAGAAAAGAGGTAATTATATGAAATGATTCCTTAAGTGGCTTAACTAAAGAAATTAATTTGTTATTTGTTCATGTTTGTATATATATATATATGTGTGTGTATATATATACATGCATACATACATAAAATTTTGTACACCAGTGATTGTTGTACACACATAAAAAATTTTAATTGGCTATATGTATTCTACATGTTTTTGTACTTTTCATGTTTTGGTTATCAGAATTTTTAATGTATTTTTAAAATTTAAATATGAAAATTTATGCCATATTTATGAAATAGATAAACACTGTTTCAGTATCAATTTTTTAACTTTCTACTTCTACTCAAAATTATATGTCTACTCTTCAGTTGCTTGACAAGTTACTCTTTATTAATATACTATGTTTTCTTTTCCAAAACATAATAGGATGGGTAGAGAGTGGATAAACAGAGAGAGAAATGACTGGGGAAAGGAATGTCATCTTTTGCCTCTAACTGATTTCTAATTTATTAAACTTTCATCAAAGAATATGGTTCATGGATATTGATTCTTTAAACTTTGAGGGTCTTTCCTTGTGACAGCATGTGGGTGTTTTTTAAAATAAATATTTCATATATTCTTGATAAGAAAACTCCTTCCTAAAGCACTCCATGAAACATAAATTTTCTAAGTGGGATTTTCTTTAGCTCAATACTTCCCTAACATATTATCTCTTCAATCATTTGAGTATGTACTTGGTAGCCTTAAATCCATGTCCAAGGTCTTCTTATATCCAGTCTTCTCTCTAAGCTTTCAATTATGATCCCTGAAGATTTCTCTTACTTTCTAATCCACTCAGTTCTACATGGGAAAGAACATGTGTTCTACTTTATTAAGCATACTTAATGAATGGTTCTGAGGTTACCAAAGAAGAGTAAAGAGAGCCAGGTGTGGTGGTGCACACCTGTAATCACACCACTCAGGAGGCTGAGGCAAGAGAATTACAATGAGTTCAAGGCCAGCCGGAGCTACGTAAGTGAGTTTAAGGCCAGCCTGCACTACATAATGGGACCCTGTCTCAAAAAAAAAAAGTAAAGAGAATAAAATTTTTACATAAAAAGGAGTGATTTTAATACTGACTGCATTAAAACATCTAATATTAAAACTAATAAATTCATTTTGTGTTTATTAAATTAGTAAAACTATAAGAGCACTGACAAATCGTAAGTAAACAAAGCATATGTTTACTGCTTATCAGGGAGAGCTGTATTTATTTTTTGTTCTTAAAAATTCTATAAAGCCTTTCTCTACTCATATGTTTCTGTTTATTGTGTATATTAGGAAACATTTATTTCTTAATATCATCTATAATTGCTGTTTTCTTTATCTTAATTCACAGGAGTGTATCAAAGGGAATTCATCACTTACCAATCTGCTTTCTGTACTGATCAACAGGAAGTTTTGTTGTGGATGCATCTTTTCTACCCATTTTTGATCTCCAAAATGCCTGCTGAAAAGAAGGAAAACAATTATAATGAAATCCTTTTTAAAAAGACTATCTACAAACTTCAGGAATAATTTCTTCCTTAAAATTCATTTTTAAAGCATGCATAAAAAATGCCTTTAGCTTATTCCCATTAGATAGCCATAAAACACACAAAATTATTTCAAATAAATTATCAAGTATGCAATTGTTGGTAATTAAATTCCCCAATTATTTGTTCCTGGTAACATTCATTTTATCAAGAGCTATCAATGCACAGTTAAACCGCACTGTTACCATACATTCTCTGTGTGTGAAAATCATGTATTATTTATTCAGGTGAGCTGAGATGTAGGCATGCTCTCCACACCATGCTTCTTTGCAACTACCTGCTGAAGTGCACAAAAAGGGAGGCTAATGTTTGAATCTCCAGTAGCTTGTATTTTGTTTTTGAAAACATGACATTTGTAGCCAAAGTGGAGAAATTTTGGTTCTCATTCTGCCTCTTTTAAAGAATAAAAACTATTTATTAATATCATCATGCATATTACATTGTATGCACTATTGTTTAATCCTCAATGTATTTTTCAAATCCTGTTATTTTAATTGAATTTAAATATTCCAGCAGAGCCTATAATCAGTTCACCAAATCAATATTCTCTTTGTTTTACTTTCACTATTATACTCAATGTCCTAGCCTTAACCCTGATATATAACTGAGTTATCAAAAGAATTTGAATGAGTGATGTGTCTCTTTCAAACCTGAGCATTAAAAATTCCCCACAATAATCCTATATTCTCCTCTCCTCTTCCAACTGGCTAGAGTAGAAATAAGCCCCAGATAAATCTGGAAGATGCATTTGTAGAAACATGAGAATTTGTCCAGCCTGGGGATGAAACACAGTATTTTCACTAATTTGTTTGGCATCCTACTAACCTACTAAGAGAAAGGAATGAAATTCTATGTAATTGAGTTATTCCACATTGGTGATTTATTACAGATACAAGTACTGGCTACAGTCATACAAACACTGGTGACCCAAAGTCGCTCCTCATTTCTTTGAGTAAGGTGTTGTAAGAAAAAGATAAAGTCAGGGGAGAACTGATCAGTTCACAAACAAAATATAAGAGAATAGCAATTGGTGAATGAATGAAGTTGGAAAAGCCACCAAATAACAATAACTAAAACAGCAACAAAAAAGCTTTAAAGAACAAAAGCCCATTATGATCTCTTGGGGCTTAATGAACTTAAGGGTGCTATTGTATCATCTCAGCCAATTAGTTCACATCACTGCAAAGCTATTATTGAGGGCTGGGTAAGGAGGAATACTCAAGAGTCCTGTGGCATAAAAACATAGCTAATGTGAGATTTATACCTAGGAAAGAAATTGTGCAGCAACTGTTGGTATGTGGAACTCCCTAGAAATGGTAAGAAGATTAGCAAAATTTGAGGGAACTCTACTTACCAAGAAAGCAGAAACTGTCTAAAAAGTCTGTGAATGAAAACCAACCCTTGGGCCTCAACACTTAAACCAATAAATAACACACCCCAAGGAAAGTAAACTCAGTAGAGTTTGTAGTATCCACTTTTTATACAACCAGGAAGAAAGAACCATCCAAAGGGCAGAGTCATAGAGAGTAAGTGACAAAAGAAGTTCTCTAAAACAACCATAACTAGTGAATTAGCAAGACATTTCTGTTGGTGAGACTGTGGAGGGGTAGGTACATTTCATAGCCTGTAAAGCTCATAGAGCCACATCCCAGCTTGAGAGAGAGAGAGAACTGTAAACGGGCTGTAGGTCCTTGGCTTTGAAATGGATGAAGTAAGCAGGGAACTGTATTAGCTTCCTGGTATGAGGAAATGGGGAGAAGGGCATGGACTGCTATTTTAGGAACAGAAAGGTGAACAATAGCAGGACCTGTTGGTTGCTCACTAAAATACACATTTCCGCCCCTGGGCACACTGGTCTACATTTCACAGATTCCTTGGACGCTAGTTGCAAGCACATCACTAATTTTCAGCTTGCAAATTCTTTTTTTTTTATTTTAAAGAGAGAAAAAAAATTAAAAAGTACAGAATTTGAAAACAAGATGATAGGAAATTAACAATGGTTTTTATATTGCATATTTTTATCTGCAAAGTAGTTGCTCAGGGCTGGGGATATCGCTCAGTGGCACAGCACTTTCCCAGCAAGTATGAAGTCCTGAGTTAGAGTCCCAAAACAAAAGAAGAAAAAGTAGTTGCTCAAATTACCAGATACAAGCATGCAAAATTGATCAGACAATATAAGCACTAACTGTTCCTTTCAATGAACTAATAGAAATTAGTAGTACAATCATCTTAGCTATCTTATGTTTATATATATCTATATCTATCTATATATATATATCTTTTCTTTTCCCTTTCCTTCTTTTCTTTTTTCCCCTTCCCAGTTGCTCTTTCCTTTTAAGCAATTTCTTTCCCTTTCACTGTATCTATTGTACTTTCTGGATTTTATTTACTCTTTCAGTTTCTTACATTAGGGAGACAATACCATGTTTACACAAGCGAGTCTGGTTTATTTCAGTTAATAATATGGTATCGGTTGCATCCATTTACCTATAAAAGCCTCAAGATTATCTTAATTCTGGAACAGAGCTATAAAGTACCATGTGCACTCATCCATCCATCTGAAATGGAGATGACCTCCATGGTGAGTTAGGAAATCATGTGATACAGACAGCAGAATCCACCATGTGATACAGACAGTGGAATGAGTATATGGAACAGAGCTATTCATCCTACTTGTTTCACTCTTTCACTACTGTGAGATTAAAAACTGAAATTGTATCAATTGAGCCATGCTACATTTGTTACATTTACTTGTCCCGGTATTGGTATTAGTCCAACTAAAACAAAACTGCATAATGTGTCCATATACATTGATACAATTATCAAAGTGCAATTTCCCTAGTGAGCATTATTAACCAAATGCCAAATGTATGTGAAATCTGTTCAGATTGAACTACATTGTCTATCTATCCATCCTCACAGAGATAGCTAGCACTGACCCACTCAACACAGTAAAAGTCATCCCCAACAATAATTTTTGTGTATACATAAGAAAATTAAAAGCTCAATTACTTTTCTAATCAAAATAACCTTTGGTATTATAGTATTACAGCAATATCTAGAAATGTAAAATAAGGATGACAAGAGGTCAAATAAATTAAGTCTTGAGCTCTACAAACTTAATTATATCTAAGATAACCATCCTTAAAATTATATAAATGACGAAAATACTTACTCATCTGTAGGCTGTCTTTTTACTCTTGGTGTATGTGTACAAATTCCCCAAGATGAACGGGATCATTAAGTACTGCAAACATGTACTACGAAAATACTCTAAAATTTTTTTATAAATGAAACCAAGGCATCATACCTACTCCTACGGTCTTACTTATTATAATTCAAAACATTCAAAATAAATCTGTCAACACAAGTAGCATAAATAATGTCAACAGATATAATTTATTCATATAGCAATTCTATTTGCATAGTGTTTGCATTTATTAATTATAAAGTAGAGTTGTTATTATAATCTTAAATGTGTGGACATAGAAAAAGATACCATTCCATTTTAGGACAGATAGTAGCATAAGTGGATAAACACACAACATAACAGTCCCTCTTCAATTTAGTTTTGTTCTTTGCCCTTATGGAATATGCTTATCTTTTTTTATTAAAAGAGCAAAATATTAGTCATCTGCCAAAATGGTTACTCATTATGTTTCACTGTCTATTTCCTGGTCATTTAAACAAAGATCCTAAGAGATCTTTAGAGTCTAGCATGTTATTCACTGATTACCTGTAGTAAATTAAGAAGAGATCCATTGAAAATATCTTCTGGAAATTGAATTCTGCTCCTACATAAATCTACTTTACATAACACAATTATAACAAAAAATCTAGAGTATCTAAATTTTGTAAGTACTTATATGCTATCAAGCATACGATATATTTTACATATATAATAATCCTGAATATAAAAATGTTAATATCACTTCAACCAAGGAAATACATTAGACTGTTTTTCAGTATTTGTTCCCAAATATTTTAGTGATTTTTAATACTTAAAGTTTCAAAAATTTAACTTTATTCTTGTCTTACAGTCATTTTATCCTAGTATTTCAGCAAAAAAATGACCAAGGATGAAACAAATAATGCTGATAGGCAGCATTTTCCAAAAATGGCTTACATTTCATTAGCTGTAACAAACACAAGAAGGTGAAAAATAGTTTACTAATAGACACATTAAAGCTATTTAAAATAATATAAAGAGATACCCATTCATCTGAACAGTACAAACTGCCAATGCCTCAGACATCTAGAACCTCTAAAGTGTTCTGACATTTCTTTGTTCTTCAAAGCCTTGCAGTAATCATCACTCATTTCTATTGCTTTGATGCTTAGATAGCAAAGTCCCAAGAAATCCAGAGAGACATTAGCACATACAGCCACAATTTCTAATAAGATACCTATTTGCATACAAGATCAGCCACAATTTAAAATGTGTTGTGATAGATGTGGAAAGGGAATAACAGATTTATATTAGCATGTACAATACCAAGATTGTTTTCACAATTTAATTCCTTAGAGACTGTGTCTCATCACCTCCTTTCATAAAGAACAGTGCATTCCCTAAGGAACTAACTTGTTCGGAGACCCAGCTAAACTAAAATATGGATTAATAAGATAGTATTTATTATTTATGAATTTTGCTGTAGGAATGATTTCAGATTAAATCATCAGAGAAGTTTTTAACATTTTTGAAACTTGATAACACATATTTGAGGAAGAAGGAATGCTGATTTTATTTAATACCTAAATTGTATATTAAAATAATTCATAGTTAAGTTTTGAGTTAATTAAAACTCTACACTTTGAAACTTCTAAGATTAAAGATAGAATTTTTGTTTTTAGTATGCTTTCTTAACCTGAATTTAATACAATTCTTTTACATGTATTTTAAGCACAATATGCGACC